TCCCCAAAGGCAGCATCACCTGCAGGGAACATCTGGCAGGCCAGTGTAGAAGGGAAGTCAAATGCACCAGCAGAAACAAGATGGAGCCAGGCTCCAAAGCCAGATCGGGGGCGGAAAGGACCCCCTTGGTCCAGTCCTCACTTGCATACACTGGGAGATGACTTGGGCATGTCTGTGCTACTTGCGAGGCCCGTCTGAGATCTCCACTGGGCACAAGCCATCCCAGTGATGGTCAGCTCAGGCCTGATTCTAACTGACTCTAAATGGAGGGATCACCCAAGTGGAAGATGCTGGAAGGGGACTCAGAGAGGTGGAAGGCCTTACACTTCACAAAGCTGCCAGCGACATCCAGACGTCTCAGGCACATGACCACCAGTCACTGGCGATGGGGCCGCAAACTCACAGGGCACTGGGAGGATTCTGATTGCTGATAAATCATGTTATCTCCAGGCAAACCTGTGTGCAGTACTGACCGTCCATCTACCCACACAGAGGAGCTACCCAGATACTTTCAATTAACTCAGGTAGGGTTTTCAGTTTGGCTTCTAGAAGCTCACCCTTACAGGGGTCAATTCTGGAGACAGAATGACGAGGATTCCTGATGGAGAGCCTAGCGGGAATGGAACTCACTGCTGCTGGCAGCCAGGAAGACTTTCCTTGCCAGCAGCCCACCATCTGTGATCAGACATCCCAAGGCAATCTTGATGAACTGGGGGCCTCAGAGAGAGGGCTCTGCTCGGGAAATGCTTGGCAAGAGTGGGCGTCTGGAGACGTGCCCTGGCTAAGGACCCGGTAGCTTTGAAAATGGACACAAGCATGAGGCTGACGTCGAGAAGGCTTCATCAAGCCAGCAAGGGAGACCCTCCAGCCCTAATTCCAAAGGGATCCTTCTGTCGGCAAGGAAAGCAGGGGGCCCTTCCTGCCGTGGGGATGGGACAGGTCCTGCTCCAGAACCACTGCTCGGCACTGCAGAGGTGGCTCAGTGGTACCAGTGTCCACCCACGAGAGCCAAAGGCACTAGGCTCTCAATACTACCGGAATCTAGTAAGGGCCCATGGGAAAGGCAGTTCCAAATGTCCCTTGTAGGTGTCTTCTGCCACTATATTCTGCATGAATATGAAACTACATCTTGAGGATGGGTTAAAGAAACCAAATTCCTCTTAATTCTTTCTTCTTCTCAATGACCCTAAGAAAGGAGGGTAATGAAGGTCATCATTCTAAAAGCTGTGGTAACCGAAGTTTCTGGCCAGAGCCGAGCACATCCCAAAGGACCTGGGGTGGCCGAGGACGTGTCACTGAGCCTTCTTCCACCCAGGGCTCAGCCAGGGAGTCAGGAGGTGCAGTGGTCCGGATGCCCGACAGCAGCTTATGTGACTGCGCACAAATTACTTCAACGTGTAAAGCAGGGGTAACAAAAGCACCTCCTTCGCCCGGTGACCGAGACAACATGTTACAGTGCTTTGTAGATGTGAAAGCTCCATCTCCGTGCTGGGCTCCCCAACTGGAGACGCTCCCACTGCTCTTCCAGAGGGGCCGCCCCTGGGCGAACCCTCCGCCTGCCGCCAAGGACCGTGGGCGTCCAGAGAGTCAGCTTCCTCCCCGCACTCCGAGCGACCGGCGCTGTCTCCTGTCCGTGGGCACTAAACAAATGGCCCGGCGTCCAGCCTCACGAGGTCAGCTCCGCCCCCCACGCAGCGCCCTGCAGCCATCAGGCACCAGGAAGGGGCGCTGAGCCACTGTGGAAGCCTCCTCCTGCTAGGCCTGAGAGGGCAGGGAAGCCCCCAAAGGAAGGGAGCTGCCCGAGGTGACCCCACCCTTGGTTTTTCACAAAATTCCCCTGACCAGAAGCCAGTGTCAATACTGTCATTTACAAAGCAAACCAGCCAATTTCACAGATGTTTCCTCCACAGATCCCAGGCTCCACCCCTCCCTTCAGATAACAGGACAAGGGGCTTGGAGCGCCCCCTGGTGTCTGTTCCTGGTCCTGTCCCCTACGGTGGGCTCAGTGAATGGAGAACAGACTGTTCAGAGCTCAGGGCCACCTCTACTCGAGTCTGACCAAGAGGGATCCAGACCGCGCCGAAACGGGAACTCCCAGGAAGTGTTGACGACGCCAAATCAAAACATATTAACGGACACCTCTGCAGAAACATCAACCGACTCTGTCTGGAGGCGATGATACGGTAGACCCCCAGGTCAGAGCCGAGGCCGGCCCTCCACGCTGTTTCCCCTGGGATCTCAACTGCTCCCATCGACCGGATGACCACCTCTGCCCTGAGGATTCCCGCCCCAACCTCCCCACCGACCTCCACTCTCACATCTGCGGCTGCCAAGTCCAGAACAGAACTTGTCCTCCTCCCGGCCTCACCTCCAGCCTGCCTGTGACTAGAGAGGGCATCACCATCCGCCCAGGCCTCCAGGCTCACAACCTGAGACTCATCCCTGACTCACTTTCTCTCTCAGCTGCCGGCCACAATACGGCACCAAGGCCCTCTGACATCACCTCTGCCCCATCTCTTAAACAGCCCCACGTTGGTGCAGGTCCTCATCCCTTCACGCCCGGACTACGGCAATGACTGCTGCGGGGGTCTGCCTGCCTCAGGCCTCTCCCCTCTCCAGTCCAGACTCCATTCGGCCACTAGAGTGATGCTCCAAAAGCCCAGCTCCATCCATGTGGCTGGCGCGAGCACGCACGCACGCGCACACACACACACACACGCGCGCACACACACACACACACACACACTCAAGATCAAAGCCCCGCCTGGACCAACATTCTCCACCATCCAATCACTGGCCCTCCCCATACCAGGAATGGTCTCCCACTTTCTCCCCACCCTCTCCAGGAAGCCTTTCCCTGACTCTTTGCTGATTCTCTCCAGGTTAACCCTTCTCTGGCCGGTTTGTGACCAGGTGTCTACGTGTTTTCTCCTCCGTGAGAGCAGGCGCTGCTGTCTTTTGCTCCTTTGTATCCTCAGTGATGAGTACACAGGAGGTGTTTAACAAATGTTTACTAACTCCTGGAAAAACCTCTCCCTCTTAGACAAGCCAGGAACAGCACACGTTCCCGCGAATGTGTCGTCCGTGACTAGCTGAGGACAAAGCCCAGGGCGCAGGCCCCGGCGTGGCACGGCAAAGTCCCAGAGCAGGGTCTGAAGGCCGAGCAGCGACCGTGAGACCGGGCCCGCGGAAGCCGGACGTCCTTGGGCGGAGCGCGGGCCGCTGACTTATCCCCACCTCCTCAGAGTTCCCAGGCCATTTAGCCAGTGATGAGACAGCGGAGACAGCCCTTGGGGAGAGCAGCTCCCGAAAACCCGGATGGAGCGTCCCAGCCAGGGTAACCTGCGTAGGCAGCGCCACGTGCCTTACGAGGGTCCCTTAAAAGGGACCGCGTCTGAGAAGATGAACTCCCTCCAAGGCCGACAAGGCCTGTGACTCTGCCAAAATACGCATGAGCAAGAGAAGACGGACGCTCCCCTGCAGCTGCCCCCCGGCCCCCGGCCCTCCTCCCCCATGAGGCCCGCCCTCTCACCTCTGCTCGGGGCTCAGGCCCGCCGCCTGCGAAGCAGCAGGACTAGCATCAGCACTTTCTGTCCTCTCCTCCACCACATATTTACAAGAAACGTCTTGAGAGGTAGACAATTTTCCTTCTTCGCTGCAGGAGAGAAGGTACAGCTGGCATTAGGGCGCCACACGGACCTGGGGTAGCGGGCAGCGCCGGATGACGCGGCATGCAATGGCTTTGGGAGGGTGGCTGCTGCGCCAAGCCCAAGCAGCAAGCTCGGCATGCTCAGGGTGGGATGACAACGGAGGTCACAGACACAGGGAGACAGGAAAAGGAGAGCAACGCGCACACCCGGGAGAACCGCGAGGGGGACGATGGGATGCCGCCGGCGCTCGAGGACAGACCCCGGCTACCACACGAGAGCGTACATACCGATAGGATTTCAACACTCTGAAGCCAAGTGTGCAAAACAGAAAAAGAAATGTGTAAACATTTCAAAATACTCTCGGAAATTAGGGATTTGGGCACAACATATCCTCTACTGCGCATGGGCAAAACGTTATCTTTCTAGAAACAGACTGGTGAAGGTGTTAACTGAATCTGTTTGAAGGAACAAATAGTCATGGTTAGAGGCTGCCCCAGCCCGTGCCACAGCTCAGGACAGTCAGGGCAGAACTCCAACCCTGGCCTCTCCTGCCAAGGGGGAGGGAAGGGACATGCCACCGCAGGGCAGAGCCCGGCACGCCCCCGGAGGACTCTACTGGAGACAAGAGGAGGCAGCAGGACAGGCCTCTGGGGAGGGCCTTGAAATGCAGATTTCCGCTCCTGCAGGGGGACACCCACTCCTCCATCCTAATTCTATCATCAGCAGAATAAAACCACCAAAACTCACTCTCTGAAAAACAGCTCGCAGTTAGCGCAGACCAAGAGCACTTAGCACACGAGAACACAGGCAACATGAACACCATATGCATCTCACCAAATGGAGCCAGCTCCGTGGGGCTGGCATTCAATTTGGCAAACATGTGACATGGCACGTAGTCGATGACTGGCAAACGGGGCGGGGTGGGGGGGTTTGGAGGGGGTTTTAGGACAGGGTGGATCATGCATATACAGACTGTCCTCCCCTAGGAGCAGCAACCAGACCCCCATGACCTCCAAGGCAAGGCCAAAGAGGCCAAGGCTTTCCGCCCTGATACAGCGCAGTCCCTGAAAGGATGAGGTGAGCTGGGAGAATCCAAAAGATCTCAGGGCCCAACAACAAGTGCTGGGGAACATCCCCCCAAGGTCTGGCCTTCATTTATTCCCCCTTCCTGTCAGGGCATCTGCCTCTGAGCCCTCTACGGCACAACCATCACAGTCCCCACCAAATCTTCTCTGCAAGACAGACACCTCGAGTTCCTGTGACCCACTCTCAAATGGCGGCCACCTGTCTAAACCCCCCCCCCCCCCCAGGAACTCTAATTAGCCACACGCCCTACACTTTCTCCCTGGGAGCCCCAGGAGACGTGGCCCGATGTTCTAAGCTTGGATCCCAACTGCCCCATCGAACCTGTAAAGTGTCTCCTGTCATCTGTAAATAATTCTAAGTAGGCCCCAGTGCTTTTATCTAAATCCTCGACCAAAGGGCCAAGAGCCCAGAACCTTTAAAGGTCCCCTTCTCTTCAAGTTAACAGTAAAGATTAAACATCCAACTAGTTGGGCCATCCACTACAAGGAAACCGCCCTCCCCCTGTCATCATATCCCCTCGCTTTTCTGCTCCCGTCACCCCATCCAAACCCCCAGTGGGGTCACTCTTGGCTTGTGTCCTCACCCCTGGGACCTTTCTTAGACAGCTCATCACCACCCCTGCCTGGCGTGACACAGTCTAGAAACCTAACTCGCAGGCACACACAGCGCTGTGCACACCATGCCGACACGCCAACCCCTGAAATGGGCAGGAGCAGTCGCTCTCACCCATTGGGAGCTTTGGTCATGTTTTCTAGATGGGCCTCAGGCTTAAAAACAGCAGCGGCTCTCTCTCTCTCTCTTTCCCTCTCTCTCTCATATCACGCTGGGCTGACCTTCAAGCTGAATTACTCCTTCCTTTCATCGGTTCTGAAATTCCTGCATGTCCCAAGGCTGGCTGTCTTGGAGGATAATAGCAGGAGAATTCATGAGAAACTCCCTGTCCCTGGCCAGTGTGGCCAGGATGTATTCCTTGAGAAGGATGCTGTGACTAATGACAGAAACTCGTCAGGCTGCTGCTGCAGCTTAAAGCCCCGTCCTCGTGCTCCTTGGGAGCCTGGACCTCCGGTTGAACCTGCCCAGCTACGGGCCATAAGCTTTGGGCCTGGACCCTCCTCCCTCCAATTCTCGGGCAGTCTGCTTCTCCTCTTGAGTGCATCTGCTCAGGTCACTCTCCTCACAAGTCATCATTCACTCTCTGCTCAGGGAAGGGCTCCTGGGCCCTCCAGGATTCCTTCCAGTTTTTGCTCACACCCCTTCCCACAAAGGGCCCTGGGAGGCCAGCTGACTGGCCCATGAACCCACCCACCCGGCTGGTATTCCTCCCTCACCTGAGACCACACAGCTACACCGCGCTTCCTTCTACAGATCTGGTATTACATGGTTTGATTGTTGGGGGGAGGGCAGTCGAGGGGAAAGACCCAAGTTGACTGGTCCTGCCTGATGCTGCCACGGATTCCACGTGGCTGCCCCTCTAGGGTTCTTTCCTGCTGCTCCTGGCTATTTCTAAAATTAAACCGTATCCCCCCCCCCCCGCCCCAGCAGGGAGGGGCCATGAGCGCTCAGAGCAGGCTGGTCCGGCACATTTAACCCCAACAGATAAGCCAGAACCAGCTCAAAGCTGTCTCCATCCCTTGACCTGGCCCCGAGTTGTGCTTTCTAGGCACTCTGGTCGTTCTAAGCGCCCCGGGAGGTTTTCTTTCGCAAAGCCAACCCTTCCCGAGCGAGGGGACGTGGAAGGAGCCGAACCTCGGCCCCGCCCTGCCCGCTGCCCTCCTCCCTGAGCCCGAGTGGCCAGCGCGCTTCAGGGACCGTTACCTTTTGAAGACGGCAGTTTCAGTTTTAGCATCTACCGTAAGGCTGAGCGTCTCCTTCATGCTGCCGTTCGTCACTGTCTCGGTTACCTTGTCTGTATTTTCTGCATCATCTTCTCCATCAGAAGTGGCTTCCATAGCAACACTACCTGGGGCTGCAGAGAGAATCCTTCTGAGAACGCCATTTCTTTCAAGGGCTGACTGGTGCCCCCCATGCACTGTGGGGTGGCCCGCCTGCAGCTCGCAGGGAGCCAGGACCCCACCCCTTCCCAAGCAGCAATGAGGTCTGTGAGGAGGAGTCCCGGGGAGAGGGGAAGAGTGGCTGACCGACCAGCAGCCCAGGGGACCTCCTGGCTCTGAGCCCCACATGAGAAGACAGCTTGACGAGACTGCGCAAGGAGTCCCTCTGAGCACTTATGCCCACTGTAATTGCTACCCCGAAATATTTGAAAAACTATGCCGTTAGGAGCCTATAGAAGAGAAAACTCTGAGGGGCCCGCAGTGCTGGGCTGACACATCTTCCTGGGTTCAAATCCAGCTTCAGATGCTTCCTAGCTGTGTGACCCTGGGCAAGTCACTTAGCTCTGCTTGCCTCAGTTTCCTCATCTGTAAAATGAGCCAGAGGAGGAAATGGCAAACCCCTCCAGTATATCTGCCAAGAAAACCCCAAATAGGGTCATCAAGAGTCAGATATGAATGAAAAATGATGAACAACAAAAACTAACTCTTCATAATGTCGAGCTAAAAAAGCTGGTGTGAACATCTGCTCCTGGAAGGTTGACCCTTCCTTCACCACATTCCCGTGAGAACTGACTACACCATTCCCGTGGACAGAGATAACTCTCCGGGGCTCTCTGACCTGCACAGAGCCATGATGCTGCTTACCACCTCCTCCCAAGTGCACGGCATTTTGTAGTATTCTACATTAGCCTCTTTCCATTCTAAACTTACCCTCTGGGGGTGCTGTTAGTGAAACAGCACTGGTAGTTAAGGGATCCACTGGTTCAGTATTGGTTTCCATTTCCACTGGAGAATTACTCCTTAAAGAATCCTTTGTACTTTTGGGGAAAAAACATGTTTTTGGAATTAGGAAGATTTCTCAAACAATCAATCATCCACAAACAATTTATTAAGTGCCTACTGTGTACCAGGGATAAAGAGAGCAAAGGCTTCCAGGCTGCTGGGGGAGACCACATGTACACAATCTGAGCACATCCAAATGGACGGGAAGGGCACGCACAGGGACCAAGTCCTCCAGGCTGGAAGCACGTGTGAGAGGCTCATCCCAGGCCCAGGGGACCCCCAAGATCAAAGACCCAGAGACAGGCAGTAGCCAGAGTACAAGAAGGCTGCTCAGCAGCCCTCTCAAAGGAGCACGGGGGGAGGGCCCAGGATGCTGCTTCACACACTCCACGTCAGGCCACACCAATGGCTCCTGAACTTGACGGAAATAATAATGGTAAAGAATGGCGAGATGACCAAGTAGGGATGGTGGGACCCTGTCCGGCGCCACAACAACTTATCCCATGCTTGCAAAGACAGTCAAAGCACCAGAAATATGAGGTATTCCATCAGTCGTCAAGTGCAAGAGAGATCCCCAGTTTTAATAACTTGGACACACTCACACAAAAGACAACATGAAGCAACCCAAGGACCATGCAAGGCTCTAGAACCCGCCCTGCACCCTCCCCAGGAAGCAGACTGTGCTGAGCCTTGTGGGAAGAAAGCAAGAGTCTCTGTCCTCCTTAACTGGGGCGCAGGGATGAAACACATTTGGACACACCACACAAGTCACATGCATGTTTGGAGATGTCCACTGTATAATTTATAACTAGGGCTGACAGGTCATTCAGATCCTCCCATGGGCTTCAGCGCCTGTGCCTCAGTTTCCTTGGTAGGGCCACCTGGTAAGGACAGACCCATCTCCTTAGGACCAGCTTTCTTCCCATTTTCTCTAGTACCAGGGCACCTTTAGGGATAACTGATGAAAACAGTATTTACCAGATGGCCATAATAGCCTTTCCACAAACAGTAAGTGAAAATGATTTCTAGTATTTAGTTAACAGAATAGTGTAGTAATAAATATATTTACCAAATCAACTTGCAGGGCAAACACTGAGCCCATGCCCAGTATTAAAATTCCCTAAGAACTAAGCTGTGAGGTTGACTACGCCGTGGCGTTTGAGAAGCTCCTGTGTGCCAACCACTAATCGCCCCATTGACAGCTCAATCGCACGGGTCAGTTAGGTGAATCCCATAAATAGCCCACCACAATGCCCGTCTGTTCTAATGTTCACAAGATCTAAATCGAGGAGCTTCTGGCAGCCACGAGCTGGGGAGTGGAGATCAGTAACTCCCTCAAAAAAGGGGCTCTATACTACTTAAAGTGGAGTTACAGTCTCTCTTTTCCAGGAATTGTCACCTCACAGCCCATTACTGGAGTCTCCAGCTGTACGACAGCTGGGTCCCACATCGGCCACCTCTCCAATGACTGATGGTGGCAGCAGTGACGGCATGACTTCCTCACGCCTCCAAAGGGGCTGAGCTGAGATAAACAGGTTTCCTTCTTTTATTTTAAATCTATAAATGTCATCAATATACAAGTGATCCGTGGGATCTGGGAGCCAGAGGGAATACTTTGGGACATCAAAGACGTTAGACATATTAAAAAACCACAGAGAATACAGAAATCCCTAGCACCGGTCAGCAAAGTGATACTTGGAAATCAGGAGAGAACTGGAGAAAAAAATCCTTTTACAAGTACCAATACTACAACAAAAGCTTAGAATATTTATAATGAGCCATCAGGCCAACACCAGCCAACCTGCTCTTGGTCAGCAGGTTCCTTGGGGGGGGGGGGGGGGGGGGGGG